AATTAATATTTCTAATAAATTTACATTTTTGTATTAAATAGTTACTGATTCAAGTTAACTTACTAAGTAAACATCATAAACGCGTATAATTGATATCCAATTTCCCCGAATGATATTTTTATGTCTCCACAGAGATGCACTTAATAATGATTTATTTTTCAACTAACAAGCTGATATTGAGGGAGCTTCAAATTTTTATTCCTCTAATTTATGGTTCATATAAGAAGTCACCTAAAGTGCAAAAATATTAGTGATAAAAGTGTTCAATATAAGTTTATAAACAATAAACAAATATATAAAAGAATATTGAAATTGGTTTGGTTTGGAGAGACATACTATTCATACAAAAATATAAAATGGTAAAATAAATAATTAATAATTAGTAATATTTTATTGTTAATGCTATATTTCCAAACTGTGAATGTATAAAAAATTTAAATTTGAAAAAAAAATGAATATATGTCCTGTTCCTCCATCTGCCTGTTATTTTGTGTTCAGTATTTTTTACTTAATAACCATGGCACGCTAGTGCGATTGATTAAATTCAGAATACAATAATACGATTGAAAAAAAACGATGTTAGAGTTTGGAATGGAAATAAAGATCGCTGTTATTTTATATGTAAAATTACATAAGTAATGTCGTCAATGGTCATTTCCAAGTCAAAATGCCGCCGTTATTTTTGGATGACAATTTAGTAAATGGGTACTTTATTGAGAATTAAGCTGTTCTTTTTAAAATATTCATATAAAAATAAGTTTTACTAATATAGACGAGGAGAACAGTAAGGACATTAGAATTAGAGGTAGAGAGAACTGTTATTCCTAGAAAATTTCAGAATTTCTGTTATTTCTAAAAATAACAACTTAAGAGAGAAAATTCTGATTTACCAACGTAATTTGGTCTTCTAATGGCTAAGAAAAAACTGAGAAAAAGCAAAGCTCACCGCTCGAGTGCCGAGCGGTGTCAGTATAAACGTACACTAACAGCGTTTTCAGATGGAGCGGAGCGTCCGCGACGGAGCGTCCGCAACTTCGAGCAAGTACCATGAGTTTATATGAATAAATTCACAGGAGGGCATATGCTCCGTCCGACGGAGTTCGTCCAACGGTTATCTTGAAAAAAACACGACGGACGGTCCGTCGCATGTGAAAGCGCTGTTAGCTTTGAGAAAAATTCGTAGATACAACAATACCGATATCAATACACAAGCGGTCGTTATCAACGCACTGTTATCAAATCGCAAGCAGGCGCTATCAAAGTGCTCTGTTATTTTCAGACTTGTTATTCTTTTGGAAATGCCAACTATTGTATATATTATTATCACCAACGTTATTATATTATAATTAATAAAACCTGTTATATATTTTTCTAAATGAATAACTGTTGCAATTTCTAAATGACAGATTTAAAATAATATAACGTTTAATAATAACCCATTTCTAATGTGTTAAATCCTGTTTCTATTGCAAACCTAACGAATCTTCGCGGTGAAGCAATTATTAATTTCAAAGCCCTTTTATTTTCAAAACTGTTATGTCATTGCCATAACAACTGTTATGAGCTTAGTAGACTTCAATTTTCTGTTGCTGCACTTCAGATTTCACATTCATACCTGTTATTTTCCGAAAGCAACAACCGTTGAGAATTGTTATTTCAAAGTAACAGTTTTAACATACCATACCGTTAAATAATAATCCGTTTCTTGTGTGTTCAGGAAAAGAAAAATTTAGAAAATATTCGAATATTTTAAACTCCGTGTTGGATAAGATGAACCTGAAGACTCAATAACCTGATAATTCTTTTCAATGACCGGAATTAAGAATCCATTTCACTAGTCCGAAAAAGTAGCAAAATAAGCGTTCGGCATTGAACGTTTTATGTAAAACTGGCTAGGTATTTTTGCACAAATGAAGAAAGAAATTAAGGATAAAGAATTATACTATATCCGTATTGTAGCACATTTTTAGACAACTTCTTTATTTTTAAGATTTTGAAGGTTAAACATCAACAAAATAATCCTTATGTTTGGACTAAATTTTCTCGAAAATAAAGACATAGATTACAGTTGAGGGTTGGAACCTTTGGTGTTACACAGCAAAATAAAAACACTAAATCACCACAATACACCAAAACACTTTTACTTTTACACTGGCCGCGCGTGTCGCTAACCATGTTAGCATCATCAGCAGATGATTATAAACTAAAGTACAATCTACAAGTTGAGCGTTTATATACTCGCTCAGTGGGCACCGAGTGGGCGTGGTAAAATCTAGCCAACCGAGTCAAAGCCAACTGAGCGTAACAGTTACAGGGTTGCCACAAGCTACACAATTGTGTATTTTGCTACACATTTTCTTCCATGATTGCACAGCTACACCACAATCGGCTGTGCTACACATTTTGAGAATTTACATATTTCTTATAAAAAATAATACCAGAACAGTAAATTAGCTGACAAAAGCTGTTTTTTTTTTGCTTTTAAGTTATCTAAGTTACATTAAAAGAGGCCACAACTGAACTTTAAATTTTGAACTGACAAATATCATTTTCCGTCATCAGTGTTCAGGTGTTCAGTAAAATGTCAGAGTATGAACTGGGTCATGAATCAAGGACCGTCTATTGGTCGAGTCAAAAACGGTAAATAGACAGGACTGTTTAATTCCTTAAATAATACATAACACGTACTTTGGCCAAATTTCACTGCCTCAATTACGTCACTGTAGTTCAGTCACACTTCTACTCGTTGGCATACGTGAATAATATTCAATTTCTATTTCACTTCCTCTCATATCAGCAAGGACTGCAGTTTCTATGGACAAATTTGGCCGATTAAACAGTCCTGAATTGTTTACAGTTTTTATTCAGACTTTTTTAACCGGTCTAATTTGTCCATAAAATCGTTAGTTTCGCGACATGAATTTTGACGTCATGGCAATATTTGCTGGCATGAGAGGAAATGAAATGGGAAATGAATATATTGACGTATACAAACGAGCGGAAGTGAGACTCCATTCGTTTTACCACCATGTTTAAAAATTTGGTGAACGTACGTCTTTTTCTTAGTCTTTTTGGATAGTTTACTATTATTGGTCATGGGTGGCTACACAATGCTACACATTTTTATGGTCAAGTTCTGCACAATCAAAAATTTTCTTGTGGCAACCCTGAACAGTTAGATTTCCGCCACTAGAGTAGTAGGAACAAAGAACTTGAAGGAATTGGACCGTTGACTCTGTTCATACTATCTTTACATTTATTAATTCTGATGCTTTCATATGCATCTAATTGCCTGTAATTTGAGACTTGTTTAATTAATTTTAAATTATTAAGATCTATACAAAGTTCATTATCAACAATATGTTCGGCAACGCAAGATTTATCCGGTCTACCATATCTTATCTGAGCTAAATGTTCTTTAAATCTAGTTAATATTGATCTTCTAGTTTGCCCAACATATTTCTGATTACAATCTTACAAGAAATTTCATAAATACCCGACCTTTCCAGTGGAGGTGTTTTATCCTTTGTATTGCCTAATAATTGTTGTAATTTATTATTAGCACTATACACAAGTTTATAATTGACATTCTTAAAAATTACTTTTAGACCACAGGATAACTCTCTATCAAACGGTATCGAAAAATATTTAGACGTATCTTCCTCCACTTGAAAAGTCGAATTTTCAGGAAATCATTAAGCTATACCTACGTTTTCTAATTAATTTATCAACTAGTGAAGGAGAATATCCATTACACTCAGCTACATTCCTAATGTAATCTCTTTCTATTTCATTTCTTTCGTTGGAAAGTGGGAAACTAAGTAATCTATGAACTAAGAAATTTAAACTAGCCATTTTATGTTCAACACTATGATGTGATTCATTAGGAATATATCAGCGTGTGGTATTTTTCCTATAGATATCAAATTCCACGCAATTATTAGTATTTCTAATAACTAATACATCTAGAAATGGTAATCTGTCGTTGTTCTCAATTTCATGCGTAAATTTAATGGAAGGAAAACGATTATTTAACTTAGAAATAAAATTATCTATGGTGTCTCAATGTGTGTCAAAAACAACAAAAATATCATCCACATACCTAACCCATACTCTTGGAAAATACTTAAACTGATTCTTAGCTTCCACTTCAAACCTGCTCATGAATAAATTAGCCAAAAATGGAGACAATGGATTACCCATTGCTGTACCTTCCCGCTGTTCAAAAAAGTTGTTATTAAATTGAAAACAGTTTTGTTTCATACATAACGATGTAAGCTCAATATATTCAATCACAGTTTTGTTGTCGAGACCATTTGCGTTCAGTAATTCCTTCAAATAGCCTAAAGTATGTGGAATTGGAGCACTTGGGAACAACGAAGATACATCAAAGGAGACCAAAATTTCACCTTCATGCAATGTTATATCTTTAATTTTGTTAATGAATTCAATATTATATTAAATTCTTTAATTCACTATTAAAGACATAACTTAAAATTCGGTTACTATACGGAAATAGATTGAAGCTTTGTGATTACAGTGATATATAACTTATATGGTTTTGTATCAAATTGCTCGCTATTTTATGGCAAATGCTGAAGCTCTGCAAACCTTAATCAAGCTTTAATCAAAGCACGTGTGTTTGGAATTTTGGGTCTGTCTTAACACGACAAGATCGGGCTAAGCCTTAGGCAGATTTCTGAAATATAATATATATTTCCTTCGGCCACACACCCGCTTTACCCGACCCCTGAGAGCGACCCGAAAGTACGGCGTAATGGACTCTTAATAGAAATGTTCTCATCAAGGAACTATCATTTCTGTTACAAGATTCTGTTAATTTCCTCGACCTAAAGCCGAATAACCCTTCCTTAGATGTGTTTGAACTCTACCTCGAAATCCAAGCCCTCAAAAGCCGGATTTCCGGCCTCAGTCCCTATATTAGGTCGCAGCGTCGGATGCGGGGGCGCGTCCCTTATAAAACAGATGGTGGCGTCGCGACGCGGACAGACGCCCTCTGCACCAGGGTACGTGTTGCATCAGGCAGCAGCAACAGTTTGCGCACATCGTCGATATATACTACACAATTCTTCCGTTTTTTTTTCGGGCAATAGTTTTGAGAGATGGGCAACCTGGGGCTGTTGAACGTGACGCTGTGCTTTTTATTAGTGGCGTGCAGTCAGGTAAGTCGGTGGATTTGAGAGGGGATAGAAAAATAGGTCGAAATGTTCTGTTGATTCTAGAGTTTTTAGTAATTGCATGTTTATAAGTTAGGTTAGTTTAAGAAAGATAAACGAAGTTTTAATTTGATTAGAAGAATATTAATAGAAATAAATAGTTGTAAAAAAATTAAAAGAAAAAATATATTGTTATATACAAAACTACTTTTAGACATAGAGAATATATTAAGAATTTTATTATACAAAGGGTTCTGCAACAGCGTGTCGAATATCTATTGTTAATATATTAAAAAACTTAAGGATTTCGTACGGGAACGTACAGGGTGTCTCAAAAAAGTGTTAGTTTGCGAGGGTGGATTTTTATAAATGGAACACCCTGTATAGTATTGCAATTTCGGGTTCCTTTCTGATCTACTTAAATAATCTTTTAATCGGTTCTTATTAAATCTGTCTCGATAGTTTCAGAGAAATAAATTACTATACAGGGTCCGGTAATAGTGAGTCGGGCATCTGTAGTTCCTAGAATAAAAAACTTGAGAATTTTGTTTAAGAGCGAACCTAAAGTATATGCCAGGATGTATTTCAAGAAAATATTTTAACTTCTATAGGATGGCTCAAAAAAGTGTGAGTGGACCTTGATGATTTTTTTTAAATGGAATACCCTGTATATTATTGCATTTCCTTTCAGATCACTTTACATAACCCTAAGATATGAATAAATATATTTTGATAGTTTCAGAGATATTAAAAAATAAATAAAAAATATGTATTTTTCAGCTCTTCTTAAAAAAAATATTAAAAATACAAGAACTGTCCTGAAATCAAAACTATATTAGGTATTTACTTTGGATGGTCTGTATTTACTTTGCTATAAATATGAAAATCGTAAATTATACAAAATGTTCAAAATTCTGCGCCAAACTTTCTAAAATATAAAATAATTTTTCCTCGTTTTTTTAAATGGAACACCCTGTATATTATTTTTTCAATAGACGGAGACTTAAAAAATGAACATTTTTTGTATTTAAAGTATTTCAAAATTTTTAACAGTTTCGCAGATATTTGCGGTTTTATATTTCATATGGCATTTTCCTCAGTAAATTTTTATCAAAGCCACCCAATGATTTTTCTCTCATATTTTACCATTGAAAGCACCATATGAAATAATACTGCGCGTATCTGCGAAACCGTTCAAAATTTTGAAATACTCTAAATACAAAAAATGTTCATTTTTTAACTCTCCATCTAATAAAAAAATAATATACAGGGTGTTCCATTTAAAATAACAAAGAAAAATTATTTTATATTTTAGAAAGTTTGGCGTAGAATATTGAACATCCTGTATGATATACGATTACTATATTTATAACAATGTAAGAACAGACTATCTAAAGTAAATACCTAATATGTTTTGATTTCAGAACAGTTCTTGTATTTTTAATAATTTTTTTAAGAATGGCTGAAAAATAAATATTTTTTATTTATTTTTTAATATCTCTGAAACTATCGAAATATATTTATTCATATCTTAGGGTTATGTAAAGTGATCTGAAAGGAAGCCAAAAATGCAATTATATACAGGGTGTTCCATTTAAAAAAAAAGTAATAAAAAAATAAAGTAAGTATAAAGTTAATATCGGACCATCGTATCAACGGATAACGGACGCATGAAAATCAAGCTTAAGTTTATGAAGTTTTTCGTCAAAATAATTGGACAATTATTAAATTTTCAGCTAAAAAGCGCAATCTTGATAATATTATAAGTAGTAGAATAAATTTAGAGAAATGAAAAAAAAACTGGTGGTTCTCAAAATTAAGAAAAAAAATTTGTTTTTTTAATTTTCAAAGTAAAATAACTCGACTTTTTTAGACTTGTAAAAAAGGGCAAATATATTTTTATCGAGATCTACCAGCTCTGAAAATATTTGCAGTTACTTAAAACTCACCCCACCAAAAAAAAAGAAAAAAATGGTGCCCTGTGGCGTAGAGGTACAGCTCTACACCACTCATCTATCAATCTAGAGGGTGTGGTTTCGAATCCTGTAGCAGGCATTTCGTTAGCCGACTATTTTTAATAAAAATAGTTTGGGTACCTAGGTTGACTCAGCCTTGAAATGAGTACTTAGGAACCACAATCCTTAGGTAATAATAGGCGGTTGAAGCGTAGAACTACATTACCTTCTTTGTATACCGAGTGGCTCTAGCTCTATGGGCTCTAGCATGTCAAGCTGTACCTTGCTTACTCCCAAGGCGCTAAACACTATGTACAGGAGCTATTATTATTATCTACTGCTTTCGATTAAACCAACAAAGTTAAGTTTTATCAAATATGTATTCACTATAAATTTAAAAATAAAATATTTTTATGGTATATTCTATATCGTTTCCCTTAATTGTCAAATTGAAAAATAAAATTTTTAAACTTTTATTTTATCAAAAATAAACTCGTACAGTTTCAAATATTAATTAATGAAAGTAATTTCTAGCTAAATTTACACCTCGGTTGAAATATTAGCAATAATCTGATTATAGTATACTCTAAGGTCATTTGTTGCCAATTATTTTTATCAGAATTAACTTTTTAAAATAAAACAAAAAAAAAATAACACACGATTTCAAATACTAATTACTGAAAGTGATTTTACAAAGCTAGCTATATTTACAACTGGCTTGATATATTGTTAGCTTTTAACAGGATTGCTACCTAAATATAGGTATCGGGAAGTTAAATCAATTAAAAGCGCTGCAGGATTTGGATTCTCAATTTGTATTTCGCGTAATCTTCTGTGAGGTAACGAATGTTACTGCACGAACGTTTTATTTGAATTCGGTTGTAAATTTATTACTATATAGTTTCGTTTAAAAAAAATACCTTAAAACACCGGAAACATAGACATATTATACTGTGCGCTGGGTCTATACTTAATTTTCTCTCCATTTTTCTCCACTTTTTCCAACGCATCTGCTTCCATGCGTCGTACATCGTTCCGTCACTCCAATCATGTTCAATATGATCATTTTTAAAATAAACCAATACTGGTTAAAAACAACAAACAGTCTGCATATGACGGATTTATACAGGGTATCCCAGGCTGAGCGTGCATTAGAAGTTTCTAGAGAACTACGATATCTAGATCGGAGATTTTTTGCACATAATTGTTTTACAACGAGATCTATCAATTAAAAATATTTTCAATATGGCGGCACTTCCAAAAATACCGGGAGTTGACAGCAACTTTCTTATTTTAAATGGGTGCCCCTATATTTTATTACATACTTAAATATTCTGTAAAATTTGATGAATTTTTATATCAAACACTCTATACCTAATATTAACCGTTTTTGAGAAAAAAATATTTAACCATTTTTGGACGAAGAAAACTGCCTGTGCAAAATATGTGTATAGTCTAAATGTTAAATTTAGTGATTACCACAGCCACTGTGCCATAAAGAAAAGACATGTAGATATCTATTTCATAAATTAAATTGTTCGAATGTCACATAATAATGGCCGCAGCTGTCATGGAATTGAACGATTAAAAAATTATCATAAATCATTTCTTTTAAATGCAAACCCTTTTTTTATTTCACTAATGAAAAGGCTTTGCATCAATTCGTTACTTTTTGACTTTACATGTTCCTATACTTAAAATAAATCGTTATTGAGTTATTTAAGATTTAGTTTTAAAGAGAATATTTTTCTTGATTTTAACGAGTAGTCTATGACTTTAAACGTCAAGTGATGTAAAACAATATATCTAGCCATGTCATATTGTGACACTTTGTTCAAAAAGCAGTATGTTATCGACTATCATTTCCAAGTCAACTTTGGTAATCATACGGTATATTATTAATAATTAATATCAACTATTAGATATCACTAAAGAGCAAAAATGCGAGATATATTTGTCTATATTTGTCACTAATGTCAAAGGAAGCTAGATAAAACCAAGAAAAACATACGTTTTCAAACTAAATGTTAAATAACTTAAAAACGATTTATTTTAGGTATAGGAACATGTATAGTTAAAAAGTAACGAATTGAAAAACCTTTTCACTAGTGAAATAAAAAAAGTGGGTTCCCATTTGAAAAAAATGATTTATGATAATTTTTTAATCGCTCAATTCCATGATAGCTACCGCCATTATTATATGACATTTGTGTGTGTGGGAACAATTGAATTATTTAAATAGATAGCTACATGTCTTCTCTTTATGCCACAGTAGCTGTTGTAATTACTAAATTTGACTTTCAGGCTATACAAATTTTTTTGACAGGTAGTTTTTTAGTCCAAAAATTTTAAATATTTTTTTTCCTCAAAAACGGCTAATGTTAGGTATAGAGTGTTTAACATCAATATTCATAGGATTTTACAGAGAATTTAGGTATGTAATAAAAAATGGGGGCATCTGTTTAAAATAAGAAAGTTGCTGTAAACTTCCGGTATTTCCGGAAGTGCCGCCATACTGAAACTATTTTTAATTGATAGATCTCGTTGTAAAACAATGATGTGCAAAAAATCTCCGATCTAAATATTGTGGTTCTCTAGAAATTTTTAATGTACGCTCAGCCTGGGACACCCTGTATATTAAACCAATCCATAGTTAACCTAAAAAATATTAGAAATTTTTTTAATGAAATAAATGGATTAGTATGGAGTGGTATGGACGTCATCTGCCTTTTTTCTGTCATTGTCTATTAAAATCTTACCTGAGTCGTAAAACAGTGTATCGCTAGTTATCTAAATGCAGATTTTTGCCAAACGGACAAAACCACTACAAAACAGAGACTCTAAAGTTTCCAAAATAAGGAATTTTGGATATCTTAGCTCACCAGCTACACAGACTTTGTCAACAACGAAATGTCTTGTCGTCAGACGGAAAGATCAAAGTGTTTCTGTGCTCTTGTAAACATACTTTGCTTGGTGAAAACGACACTCAACTATCCAGAGGGCTTTAATATCGGTATTTCATCCGTGAATCTAATCAATTGCAACAATAAT